TGTAAGTTCCCCCCCCCCCAAACCAGTATCGAGTGACCCACGAATGGCCGATTTAGAGCTCTTCTCCTGAGTAAAGAACTATATGTTGTTTTGAGAGAACCGTTTTGCCTGCAGTGTTTAATTATATAATATAGTTAGTTATTTAACGACGCTGTTAGTATCGAGACTGTGGCGTCTATAGAATGTTTATTGCGTGTTTATGATGTATGTGACTGTTTAATTCTTCATGGCATTTTGACATTTCTTCTCTTGTTACAGCCACGCATTGATCCATTACAGTTGCTCAAGTGCTTGAGCGTGCTCTTGAGCCCCACGGGTGGCATAAAGAGTAAGGAAGAAGTCCAGAGGCTTGCAAGGTAAGATTGGTAATACTGTCACTTAAGTGCAGGCAATCCTTGCTTGCTTTGCAGATAGCATTGTAATCCTCGTACAAGGGAACAAAGAATTCTTTTTGCACGTCAACAGATCGTTAAACAGGTGCCGTGAATCGTCTCGTATGAGTATGAGGGGTGAGCCATAAAACTGGCCCTAGCATTGCGACCTTCAGTGGTCTATTGTGCTTCCCCTTTGAATTAACCCTTTATTAATCCTAAACTTCGAATGAAATATAGGATTTTGTTTACGGGGTGGGGGGGTCGTCATAAAAGTCACTTGGTTCCATGAAGAATTGACTCAGGTGCCGATATCTTAAATAAGCTATAGCCCTACAATCACATAAAATGTGTGTGGCTGATTCATCTTCTTGTAAGCACCTCTCACAAGTTGGATCCTCTAGCAGTTCCAGTTTGGAAAGGTGCCCTTTTAGGTGGCAGTGTCCAGTAAGTAATCCTACCACCCGTCTGAGTTGATCTCTGTTTAATTTTAACAGGTCCCTCGTTCCTTTGGCAGAGGGTCCTGATCAGTGGCGTGCGGTACAGTTTGTGGTAAGGGAAGCAGTGGTATATAATAAACAAACCGATAGCAATCAACTCACCAAAATTTATGTCACTTATTGAATCAATAAATAATGAACACTGTACTCTTCTCAAGGTGAACATTGAGTTTATTATCATATTTCCTCAACAAGTGAACTAATTCCACATAATTACCACGCTTTTATCATGACCACGAGGGCAAGTTGCCTCTTTCCTAAATGGCAGATGATATCAATCAAGCGTTTCATTATTTGTCTATTTTCTTTCACATTTTCAGTATGCTGTAGTGTCGTCAGGCACTTTTGATTGCCAAGTTGACAGTCAATTCGAGATTTCCCGAACATAACAAGTTGCATTGTTGAAATAACGTGAGTCTGAGAGTCATGTCGTTTCAGTGCTTTATGAAGATTGTTGATATCACCAAACCCAGTCTTGTTCCACATATTTTTTTTTTTCCAATGAGAAACAATAGACATGGCCAACAAAACAATTTTCCTATATTACCGCAACCGGATAGCCACTCTGTTTTAGAATACTGTTCCAGATTAAATTTCTTCACACAGTTTGGTTTGTGCTTTTAAGTTCTGGCAACTCGTATGTCGGTCGTCGTCTTTCTACGATTATTTTCTTTTCAGAAAAGTCCCTGCTTTTAACTCCCGTTTTAAAAAACTTTCAATTGCACAGTCATAGTCGCGTTGTTTGCCAGCATTCATTTTAGCTGTTGCCTGTGCGTGTAGTCTAATCACGCCCCTGACCCCTGTACCACATTATCACACATGCCTCCCTTAAACGCAGGTAGCTTCTTTCTGATGCGTCAATATACAATCCCAAATACAATCTTACGCCATCTAAATATACACTTAACAATATTTTAATAACACTTAATGTTACCTATAACACCCAACAATACTGAAATCACACATACACAGTTAATTTTCACATAACCATCGAAAGAACACATTCCTTCGCTGGCCAAGCCAGCAAACCAAAATTTGCTTCCCTTGGGCACTTCGGATTAGACGAATTCGTACGAAGATTAACGAAAAGAAACTTGGTCCGTCCCACCAAGCATGGAAAGGGAGAAGGAGGCATGTGGCCTTGAGCAGGAACACGCACAAAATGACAATATTCACATCCTTATTATTCAGATTGAATTATTTATATATGACTTCTTTTCGTTTCCTAACTACGGAAACCATGCTTCCCTTGCATCCATGCACGGCACGCCACTGGTCCTGATATAAATCCTTTTGCCTGTTTGAGTCCAGTTACGGAATCCCAGTGAGTTTTTTTTTCTGTTAGTCCAGTCCCTTATCGCTTTCTTGGCAACTCCAGTTGAGATGCTGCAAACTGGTTCAGGTCCAGTGAACGATTGTTCAGATTCTGTCCTTGCCAGTTGATCTGCGGTTTCATTCCCTACAATACCCTTATGATCTGGCACCCATATCCGTTGCACTCTGTTATGTCCGGCCAGTTGTATGACGGATTGGTCGCAGTCCCAAACCATTTTTGAAGTGATTCGGTGTGTACCAAGTGCTTTAATTGCAGCTTGACTGTCTGATGGAATATAGATGTTCCTATTTTTATGGTTCCTATCTAAATTCTCAACTGTGCATGCCTTGATGGCATACACCTCTGCCTGGAATACTGTTATGTATTGACCGAGGCTGAAGGTATGCTTCACCCTCATTCCATCACAATACACCCCAGCTTCAGTGCCTTTATTTGTCTTGGAACCATCTATATGCCAGAGTAGTCCCCCATTTCTATCAGGTTAAAACCCCTCTTTCCCTTCACTTTTATCAGGAAATCTGTTCGTGAAGGGTCTATCATAAACATGTTTCGGTAGCATTTTATCAAATCCCATGTGCAGGATGGGTTCTTTTTTCATGTCGCGAGTCATGTATGCATGTCCGAAACCTTCGGATTTAGGTCTCCATTTATCATTTCAACGTAATCTGTAATTTCCTAACTTGACCTCTGCTTCCATCTGCAAATGCAGTGGATGGAGTCCTAGTAGGATTTCCATTGCAACTGTTGGAGCTGTTCTCATTGCTCCCATAATTCCCAAGCAGGTTGTCCTTTGCAGTTTGCTAAGTTCTGCCTGACTTGTTTTGAGTTTGACTCTAGGCCACCATATAGTGGCCGCATAGGTGATTATGGGTCTTACCACTGCAGTGTATATCCAATATGCCACCCTTGGTATCAGTCCCCAAGTCTTCCCAAACTTGCCTCTGCATGTCCAGAGGGCTTTATAGGCCTTATTAATAGCCTTATCCAGCTGCTGTTTCCATGTCAGCCCCTTGTCTAATGTTAATCCAAGGTACTTGACTTCACTGGATAGCCGGATCGCTTTACTGAAGAGGATTGGTTCTTTGAGTCCCTTTATATCCCTCTTCCTAGTAAAGGGTACAATCACCATCTTGTTTGGATTGATAGAAAAGTTTGTCCTTTCGCACCACTGTGGAACTGTATACAGGGCTATTTGTAGGACCTCTGATACAGTGTGCTGGAATTTCCCATTAATTAGGATTGCTATATCATCAGCATATCCTACTTTAAGTGTCCTGTACTGTTGAACTCCCAAAGAAGATCGCGACCATGCTCCACAGGAGAGGGGAAAGAATGCCCCCCTGCGGACATCCTCTCGCTGCAGACGCTCTCAGAATCTCTAAAGACAATTTAGCACTTGTATTTCTGCATTTCATCATGGCACAGAGCCATCTGCATGTCGCGGGCTCAATGCTATGCCTTTCAGCAGCCTGTTTTATTGTATCGAAGGAGGTTCTGTCAAAGGCTTCCTATACGATGGGGTACCCAAAAGAAACCGAACTAATTTTTTTTGTGGGCAGAGCTTTTGTAGTACCGCGTTTTGCCGCCATGAGCGCATAGAGCTAACATTCCTGAGTCGATAAGCCGACTACAGTTTCGGCAGAGTTTATAGTGACAACTGTTTTGTGTGATCGTCGTTTTTGCAATGGCCCCAACACATGAAAATGTTGAAAAAATTCGTGAAATCATCAAGGAAGATCGACGACGGACCATTGAAGAAATTGTGGAGCTGTCGGGAGTGACTTGGAGCTCAGTTCAGCGAATTTTGACAGAAGATTTGGGAATGAAAAGGGTGGCTGCGAAATTCGTGCCACCACTGCTGACTGCTGAACAAAAACAAGGTCGCGTGGAAGCATGCTGTGCTTTGAAAGAAGAGTCCCGAAATGATCAAAACTTTTTTTCAGCGTTTTGCCGATGTTGCTGAGGTGAAGGAAAAAAACGACGGAGGCGCTGTCAAGCATCTCAAAAGATGAATTTAGACAATGTTTTGAAAAATGGAATAAAAGACTAGGCAAGTGTATTAGTGTAAGTGGAGAGTACTTTGAAGGGGATTGAAGGTTTGTGCTTAAAATTTGAATAAATAAGTTTAAAAAAATAAGTTCGGTTTCTTTTGGGTACCCCCTCGTACATCAAGGAATGCTCCAAGAGCAATATCCTTGTGTTCAGTAGTATTCTGTATGCGTGTTACCATATTATGCAATGCAGCTTCGGTAGATTTACCTATTTGGTAAGTATGTTGGTTTCGGTGCAGATGATGAATTTTCAGTCCACCGTCGCTAATATATCTATCCACCACTTTCTCCATCGTTTTCAAAAGGAAAGACGACAGGCTAATAGGACGATAAGCTTTAGCCTCGGTATAATCAGGTTTCCCGGGCTTCGGAATAAATGTCACTTTAACTTGCCTCCAGTCCGCAGGAATATACCCATGCGCCATGCAGGCTCTAAATATGAGGCATAGTGTGTGGGACTAAATGTTCCGCCATTTGCTGCAGAAGTGCAGGTACAATACCATCTGTTCCCGCAGACTTCAATGGTTTGAAGGTACCTAACGGCCATCTGATTTTTGATCGATTGAGTACCCGACCAGCCAGGTTCTAGTCTCCCCTGTTCGTTATGTATCCACATTCGCCCAGGTTCTGCTGGCCCCGCTCATCAACTTTGAATCTGGGAAGTGAACTCTGAACTGTTCCTTCAATGGTTCTTCTCCAGTTTGTGTATACTTGCCATCAGGCAGCTTGATAGAGCCGAGGTTATTGGTCGCCTGTTTTGCCATGACCCTTATGAGTCTGGCACTGCCCGGTACATCGTTGATCTCCTGGCAGTACCTCCTCCATGAGAATCGTTTTTCTTTCCTTCTATCTTTATTGTGTCAGGTGAGGTTTTCCTTATAAGTGTCCCACTACCCTGTTCTTTTTGCTATATTAATAGCTTTCTTGTTTTAACTCCTAGCCCACTCTGCTTTTTATTCCACTAAGGTGCATTTCTTGGTAAGCGAGTGGTCTTGGCTGGGCAATTATGATAATAGGACAAGGTGACGGCCCGTTGCAACTGGTCAACAGATCGATCTATATCCCTTATCGTGCATATATTTCGCGAAATAATCTCCA